AGTCTTTCTTTGATGCCCCCTTTTAAAAATTGAATATAATTTCACTCTATGACAATTAATTCTGTTATTAAATAGCTGTATTGTCTTGGGAGAGCAATTTCTTCAACTGGAATACTGTTGCTGTTTTTTTTTTTTTTAATTTAATTAGAAGTTGGACACCATGTTTCTTCCAAGCCTTTTCTAACCTTAAGGTTTCTAGGATCTGTCGTACGTTTATATTCTTCCATTACTATATTAATGACTGACTCTAGTCATTCATCCGATAAAATAAGAATTTGTAGATTTTAAATGTGCATCTATTTATACTGTCAGAAGTTACCACAAATTTGTAGATCAGCAGCTTCCCATTTAAAAAGTAAAACAAACATATCTTTCAACATTTTTCAATGTAAAGATGAAAATGCCAAAGGCAGAAGGAGTCAGAAAGTTCAGTTTCATAACAAAACTGAACCAAAAATTTAAGCCCAGGAGACTTAAGTCACCAATTGAGAAACTAGAACTTATTGACTGCATCTGGAGTCCAGACAAGCCAGACAGCTGCAACGTTCCTTCCACTAGAGTTGCTTAAAGCAGGAAATCTCCATAGCCTGGGGCAAACATCAAATATAAAAAAAGTCAACTCCCCACTCTCCTCACAATTGATTATTTCAAGAACAGTACTCTTTAGATTACATTCAATTTAGAAGCCAGAAAGGAAGTTGCCTCCTCTTCAAATAGAATGCTTTCATGGCCCCTCACCTTCTTCGGGCACTAGTTTTATATCAAACACTGATGGAAAGCAAACAAAACCAATTCTCATAGCTGCTGGCTTCATGTTACCCAAGTGAACCTGAAACCTGCTATGCTGTTACAGATCTTTAAAAAAAAGCAATGCAAGTCAAATCAATCCTTAACCCACACACACTCCCTGAAACCATAACACAGAGTTAACACAATCCCAAGGTGGCCGAATGACTTAACCACAAATATTCTGGCAGATTTGTGATCTGACTTTTAGTTTACACAGCTGAAATGGGATGGCTGGGGCCCCTGGTTAGCATAAGGATTGAGTGGGTGCTCACTGTGGTCAAGAGTAGTCAAATCTGCCTTTGGACAGATAAAATGCAGGGGTCCATGAGCAAAACAAATGGCTAGAGAAAATGAGAAAAAGCAGTTATCCAACAAATATCTAGCACACAGCAGAAACATCTGGGTTGGGTGAGGGTAGGAAGTCAAAAGGAAATACAAAGAGGAATAAGACATGAATATTATCCTCTAGGCTAGACATGACACAGAGTAGAAATTGCTAAGTACAACAAAAAATAGAAAAAAAAAAACCTGCAGAGAAAGAATAATACTTGACTTTAGTGGACTAATGTATAACCAAAAGAAAAAAAAGAGAAAAGCAGGGCAAATAAAATGCTTAGGTCTGACTTTGGAAGAGGAATTTATCTGGAAATATGGGAATTTATACTGAGAGAGAAAAGGAAAAATATATTAGACCACCCTAAACTTATGAAAAGGAAGCTAACTGAGCATGAGTGCAGTACTTTAAAAAAAATGAAAATGCATGCAGTTACTTGGTTTGAAATGAATAATCTTAACCCTGTGTCCTACTGATTAAAATGCCCTACATTTTCACAAGATGATGACAGGTCCACATATGTGGTGCTTCTGTCTCAGAAACCCACAGAACTTGATTTGTTTCAAGGAGTGGTCATCATCCCCAAATGTTAGCTCCTATCCTCCTGAGAATCTAGCCCTGAGCTGCACAATCACATTCACTTGTTTTGACCAAACCCTCCACTCACTTGACTTGGGGCTGTTCACCCTATATCGTGCTAGGGAGACTCCATCACTGCCACCTATACACATTCTGTAAGGCTTCTTTCCCAGTCACATTCTCTTGCAAGCTTCTATGGCATTTTGATAAGAAGTGATCTTTAGTTCTTCAAAACTCTTTAGTACATTGTCATCGCCTTCAGACCCTTAATACATACTGCCTTGTTTCATAGATTCATTATACGACCTGCCTTCTAAATAAAATTTGGAGTGTGTAGGATTTTTCTTATGCATTTTTCCCCACCCAACACCAATCATGACTAAAAGGAATCTATAGAAGTTCAGCAAATTTGGTAACAAGTGAGTAACTACACTGTCAGAGGAATGAGTAATTCTTTTGATTGCATAATTTGGATAAGCTAGGCTGTGCTGTTATACAAATAATTCCATATTTCAGTTGGAATTTGGATTTAAAACAAGAAAAGGTAATTTTTCATTCATTATGCAAGTCCACTGTGGATTTATTGGAGACTCTTCTCTATATCATTTTGACTTATGTAAGCTGACAGTCTTTGTTGCCTGAAGCATTAGAAGTTACCATGGCAAGCAGAAGGGAACATGATGAGTCAGGTGCCAGCTTGTAAAGACTTTTGTCTGGGAATTACATATATCATACATCAACATATTCATATTGCATTGACCAAAAGTATGCAAAAGTAGACATGTCTTATTATGAGAGGACAAGGAAATACAATTATATTATGTGTCCAGAATATTCAGTGAATAGCTCTGATGATTACTATAAAGGATCATAAGAAATTAAACTTTAGTCTCCACATTTCAGTTTCTCATTCAATAGGTATGGCAATATGGTAACTTCTACCAAAAACAAATTCTAAAATAATGTATCTAGATACCTGGAACAGTTATCATGGGATTCCTTCTTAACCATCTTTTAAATTATAAATAGATATGTAGATGGATTGGTAAGTAGGTAGGTAGGATTGGGGTCAGAATGGGGCGTTTGCAATTGTATGGGGGAATATAAAAATAAAATTTAATATTTAAAAAAAAAAAAAAAAAAAAAAAGTAGGTAGGTAGGTAGATAGATAGATAGATAGATAGATAGATAGATAGACAGATAGATGGATCCATAAAATGGATCCACTAAATTTACTAGATTGTGTAAAGTAGAAAGCTACTAATGGAAATAAATGCATTGGTGTTCTTGGGAAGTTTTTTTTTTTTTTAAAGATTTATTTATTTATGTATACAAGAGCTGGGGTACAAGCCAGAGATGCGGGGGGTGAGAGGATTCACCAGACACAGAGTGGGGAACAGAACAGGCAGACTGACTGAAATACACTGCTGAGGGGAGCAGGAGGCACAACAGGAGAGGTCTGCTGCGCCATGTGGGAATCTCCCTAGCTGGTTGGGGATCAAACTTGTGCTGCAGAGGCTGCGGGTCGCTTCATTGTGCAGTGCTTAACCCCTTGTGTGACCAGGGAGGGCCGTTCTTGGGAAGTTTAACACATGAAATAGAAACAAGTTTAACAAATAAAATATAAACTAGTGCTATAAGAATGCACTTGTTCTATTTAATAAAGAAGGAAAGTTAATGAATTAAACATAATATAATAATATTGCTTTCTGTGATTTCTGTTAACATCATAGATCTCCAGGGAAGACAAATGTGGAAGCACATCTCTTCAATGGAGTTATTGTAAGGTTGAATGATTTTGCCTTTTACAGAAGTCTGTGAAAAGAAAAGCCCATAATAAAATATATAATTTTGTTATTGTCCTTATAGGTAATTTTCTGTTGACCTTAAAGTTCAGTCGTTAAATTATTCCAAAACAAAAAACTACAAGAGTTGAGAGATTTCTAAGATTTTGCTATTCTATAGCTTAATTCCAAAGAAAAGTACACTTAGATAACATACAGTTCTGTATCCAGTGATTGGGAAACAAAAGTAGAAGATGGCCAGAAAGAAGAAAGGAATATGGGACAGAGCTAGGAGGAAGGCAATGGACTAGAAAAAAAAAAAACAACTGATTTGGGATTTAAGGCAGTAGTATGTAGCACACAGACAACTCTTAAAGAAAGGAGAGTTCTAATGTGCAGAATTGGGGAAATTGGAAGATCCTTAAAGGAGTTAAGTATGATCAGAAAGTCACTTAATTGGGGTGAGAAGAGAAATGCAACTTTGGTGATCAAAATACTTTGCATCATATTAATTCATTAAGTGTCCTGTAAGGTCTCCAGAGCAAAGTGAAATAAAAGGATGCCTACACACTTTTCAAGGTTCCTTAAAACAAAATTACCATTTACTTGATCAGTATATACAATTGATTCATACAAAGAAAAAGACAGAATGTCTTCAGAGGTTTCCAGTGTTTGCTTATAACCTCATCAGCTACTACTTAAGGACAGTCATCATATGGGTATTTTTCTAGAGAAACCTCAGAGAATATGGTCCCATTTTGGAACTTGTCACCTCCCATTTTTAACCTTTTGATATCCTGGGACTTTTCTGAAGATTTATTTTATAAAAATAAATCTGCCCCTTCAAACATTTTAGCACTGTTCTTCTGAAATATTGCATAAGGTAAATCAATTTCTTTGGAAGGATAAGAAGGGAGATGCAGAAGGAAGACGCATAATGAAGTGGACTGGAGAGTTTAGAGCACTTAAGTGGTTACATTTTCTTCTCTTCTATTAGCTGGGGGCTAAGTATCTAAGTACAGCTTTTTGAGACCAGTGATAGGACCAAATTGAGGGTGTAGGCATTCTGAGTGGACCTGGTGCCATGTTGCCTTAAAGCAGTGATTCTAAGACTTTGTGCTTTCATAAACCAACAAATAATTCTGCCACTGCTGGTGCTAATGCTACTACTACCAGTAGTGGGGTCTTGGCACTATGTTGTCACTTTAGGGGAGACAATGACCAGAGACACCATAGAGTGCGCAGGGCTTCAGTCAAATAACTTTATGGGTCCCTATCTTTATAAAGAAATTGATTTTTAAAATTGCATCACAAAATTCTCAGATACTTATGAGGGAGGTACAGTTATTCATCATTGGAAATTAGAATAACAAATATAGAAGAGTTATTAAAAGTATTTGTTTATTGTCCAGTATGATTGAAGATTCTTACATGGTTGAATCTCAGAAAAGCCAGATTACAAAGAGGAAGCTTTGACAGTTTTAAAGGCCAGGGTCCATGTTAAAATACTTGTGCTTTTCTTCATGTCACCCAGAACTTCCTGGAAAGTAGAACAAAAATTAAAAAAGACTTCTATATCACTGCTGTCTCTTAGCAAAATACAAACTCTTTCCTGCAGCTTCATTTTCACCACTTAGACCAACTATATTTCGTCTAATTGTGATGAATTATGTGTTTTCTATCCGACCTGTCCTGTGTTCTGCTGATCTGAGTGAGGAGAATCTCCCAGTTCTAAATGGAATTGCTTTTGATCAAACTCAAGGAGAGAAGATAACTTCAAACATGTATTTTTCTCCAGATGTGTATCTTGGTCATTTAACTCTCTTGATAATAATTGAGGTGGGAATTATTATCCTAAGTCTGTAGATGAGGAATTTGAATCTTAGAGAATTCACCAGGCCAAGGGAGGTCTGCTCCACCCCAGCCCCCAGACCAGTGCTTATCTTCAGGTTTTTCTCTACTAGTCCATAGAATTTAAGATGAGAGATTAGTCAGTCATATAGCAATATAAATGCATACAGAATCACCAACAATATCTTAGTGAGAATAGTACTCGCAGATTTGTTGGGCTGTTTAAACATAATTCAGCTCAAGTACAGAACTGTATGATTTTGAGTGGGTATTTGTTTCTAAGTAATATTAAAATTCTTAATATAACTGTGTGACTCAAAAGTAGATAAAGTCATAGTTTAAATGGGTTGCACAAATGACTGGAGTGTGCTCAAGTGTTGAGAAGCCATATTTATTAATGGGAAAAAAAATAGCACTTACTATAAACCCTTGACAGAAGATTATTATTTAAAATTTTAAATTATTTAAACTTATAATCCTGAGTTATAGAAAATAGACAAAAGGTCTGAACCGGAGCAACTCAGACCTGTGTTGCAGAGAGATTTACTTCTCTCTCGTAGTAACTACCAAGTCTATTTCACTCCTTGAGCATTCTTTCCTCTTTTCATTTTTTTAGATAAAATCTCCACAAATATTTCAATGACTATAAATGTTATGCAGGAAATTTAAATATAATTCTACATGTACTATATATTCACACTTACATGCACACAGAAACACCCGTGTGCACATACATATACACACAAAGTAGATATCTATATGGGAGTGCAGTTCATGCCATGGTTCCAATTCTCTTTATTACTGTAAAGATGTTTTAAGCATATGGTCACAATATGCTCAAAATATAAAAAAAATACCATTTTTTTTCTGTGCAGAACATGGAAGTTGGTTAAAGAATGCAGAATAGTGGACTTTTCAGAAAGTGATAGACAGTTACTGTATGGTTTCTCCATATGGCTAAATGTGTGGAATTTAAACAACTGAAGAAAACAAAATGGGAAAAGGCAACAAAAATAACAGTCTTTGTGTTACTCTGGTGGTTACCAGTGGGATGGGGGAGGAGGCAGAGAGTTTGAGGGGTTCACAGTGGTATGTTGCCACTGGAGCTGTGGTAGAGAGCATATGAAACATGCACATGTGGAGGTGTTATGCTGTACCCCCAAGCTATATCCTTTTGAAAATGAATGGCAAATTAATAAATTCTTGAAGAGAAAAACAAATACTGGATTTTAGTGGTGAATGTAATATATATACAGATGTTGATTTATAATGATGCACACATAAAACATATAAGGCTATAATGCATTTGTACCTCAAAAATTTTAAAGTATACAAAATATTGATAAAAAAGAATATCTCACTTTTGGATCACACTTTACAAAGGGCTTTCATTTTCTCATTTGATCTTTATTAAGCTCATTTATTTATTTATTATTTATTTAGAAGATTTATTTATGCATACAAGAACTGGGATACCTGAACTGAAATGTAGAACCTCACAATCTAAGTCTAAATAGTTAGAGAGTTACCAAGGTCCTGATTCTCTCTCTCTCTCTCTCTCTCTCTCCTCTCTCTCACACACTCTCTGTTCTTTTCTCCTTCCTTCCCTCCCTCTCCCTCCTTCTATTTTACTCTTTCTATTATCTAGATAGCTAGTCTTATATTTTACTACATTTGAGGTTTTTTCAGGGTACCAGTGATATTTTTGTTTATCCATTTTGGTGAAGAAATGGTTCCCATTTGGTTGGATTGACAAGTCCCTGACCTATAGTTCTGCACTTGCCAAATAGGACTAGAAATCTTTTCTACTTTCCTCAGTCACTGTGATGTATTCAGCCCACCAGTGTTATGCAGAAAATTTAAATACAAGTCTTTAATTTAGCAGATCCACCCACAAGGTTCCAGAAGCTTAAGTCAGCATGAGTCTTTGGGAAAATATCACTCTGGAAAAAATAGTACATGTGAGAAAAATACTGTGAATTTAGAAGCATTTGTTTTACAAACTACAGATGCAGAGTGAAAGAAAATGACATCTCACTTTGATATTAAGCATTCCTCCATAACACATCCATCTGCAACATGTTTTGCAGTCACTTACCCGCTAAAACCTCACAGCACACAGATTCGCACATGAGGTACAATACAGCTGACCCCGTTTTACAGATGGAGAGAATAGAAATACAGAGAGAGAATAAGTAAATTTCTCAAAGTTCCCAATCAGTTTTCAGACATCTGCCGTTGGAAAGGAGTAAACTAAGTCATATTAGTCCTTTATTAAAGCCAAAACAGGCAAGAGTATTGGTTACAGATTTTCTCTGAAGAGGATGTTGGCTGAGATCTAGTTAATAGGCAGAGAGAGAACTTACCTTGAATTTTTTTTTTTTTGTAGAAAAAAAAAAAAGTAGTTATTTAGTTGTGTGTTTACTTAGGTTGGGTTTGGAGGTAAGTCTGTGCCTCAGCATAATCTGATATGAATAACATGAACAAAATGGCCACTCAGAAGAACAAAGGAAGTCTTGAAATGGGAAAGGGAAGACAGCTTTTGGTCATGGCCTTTCTCCCTAAATAAGTTGCCTTAGTACTTTGAGCTTCTGTCATCTCATCTTTAAAGTGAAGGGGTAGAATAAATCATTGGTTCACAAAATATGGTTCTCAAGGCAGCAACATAAGCATCAAGCTGGTAAACACAAATTCTCAGGCCTCAGCCTTTACTGACTAGCCAGAAATGCTGGAGGTAGCCCCTTAAAGAGATGACTCCAGCACTAAGATTCTGAATCTATCATATCACTGACATGATGAATGCACGTTTTCAGATAAATTTATTATTTAAGTTTAGTTTGTGCTCTTCAGAATACACATTAGTTTAATCTTCCAGTTTTGTGAAGATGGTAGATGTTAATGATTTTGTTGACAGAGAAATTGAATATTACAGAATATTCAAGCTTCCAGAATATAGGAATCAAGATGTAAGGGAATATCCTATACTATCTTTTTTCTTCCCTAAAATAAGAGATGATTCTCTTCTCCTTTCTTTCTACAAGTCAAGATTTGGAACTATAGTTGACCAAAACAAAATTCAATAGGCTTGACACTCCGGGCAATTCTCGCACTTATTTCATGACATTGGCAAGAGAATATATAATTGTACCTTGTAGCCTCCAGGTAATATATGGCATAGTCTTAGTTACTAGTTCTACCTCACCTAGAATGTCAGAAAGATAAATGAAATAATGTAAATTAAGATTTTATAGTTCCTGATAAGAAAATGCAATTTAGAATCATTTCATATACATAAATCTTAGGGTGTGGTGCCTAAAGTCAGGGTCTTTCCTTGCTTGTTTAAACATTTAATACAGCCTGACATATTGTAGGTGAAGGGCAAATGTTTATTGAATCACACTGATTTGTTAAGATTTCAGTGAGTGACACAAAGAAGATCAGTGCTCTGTTCTCTGTGTAACTCGAAGAATAAAACAAATTGAACTGCTGACCAGATAACCAGACATGAATGTAATTCAAAACTTTTCAGAGAAGGAACAATAAAAGAAATAACAGATGTTGAATTCAAAGAATAGAAAATATAAGTGGAACAAGGTTGCATCTTCCAGTAAGTGAAGAATAGAAGGACTACCACCAAGAAGGAAAAAGTAGAACAATGAATACAAATAACAGATTTTAAGATTTTTAACTTTTCTTCAGCAATAATGAGTTTCTTTAGAAAAGTTTGTAGGGCCTCCCTGGTTGAACGCTGGTTTGTGAAGCTGCCAGCAGCCTCTGCAGCACTGGTTAGATCCCTGGCCACCTGGTGAGGGCCCCACATGGCACTCAGACCTCTCCTGCCACCCGCTGCCCCCCTCAGCAGTAGCAGTGTACTTCCTCACTCTGCCTGTTCTGCTCTCCGCTCTGGCTCTGGTGAATTCTCTCACCCTCCCGCGCTTCTGACTGTACCCAGTGCTTGTATAAATAAATAAATAAATCTTTAGGAAAAAAAAAAAAAAAGAAAAGTTTGTAAAGATTTAGCAGTTTTAAGATACAGACACAATAGAACTGACCTAAGGCTAGTAATTAAGTTAGGGGAAGAAAAATCTACGAAGGCTGGGTTATATGCTGTTTACATTTTTCTTTTGGCTCCTATGCCTAATTAGTTCTCTGCAGCACTCTGCCCCATTCTGTGCCCTGAAAACTTGATCTCCCCAGAGTTTATCACCTGAGCATAGTTTCCCTTGAACTTCGGGTTGGGTTTACATGCTAGAAGACACAGGTAAGAGTTTGGAGGGTGAGAGAAGGGAACGCATTGTGTATTTATTTCACCCCTGCCACTGCCTCCCTGTTTATGTGAGGGTCAGGCAGTGACAGTTTCTGTTAGTTGAATACTCTTCCAATTCCAACTCTTGTCTGATCCCTGCGACATTATTCTTTACCTATGCCCCTTTGAGCCTAAGATGGCAGCCACTTCCATCATTGCTAATCCTGAACTGCTTCATCCCTTGGTCCTCCTAATGCTGACCACACTATACACACAGTCAATTCAGCAAACTTTCTTCAGCTACCATAGGGGTAACATCTGATAGATACTTGCTTACCTCAGAGTCATGATTCTGAATCTTTAAACTGCATCAGAATCATTTGACAGGTTTATTAAACTAAAAATTACTAAACTAAAAGAATTGAGTTTGTTAAACTAAAAAT